TGAATGCTGCTGAAGCTTTGGAAATGTGATGAATTTTTCTGTTCATCTCTAGCTAAAGATGCATTTCTTACTGTTTGTTTGCTTGGGGTTTTTTATAGTTTTTAGAGACTTTTTTCCCCCTCACTGTTCAGGTTTTCTCCAGTGCATTCAGAAGCATAAGAAGGAAGTATGAGATGACAGGAGACCTCAGGACAGATTTATGTATTACATGTGGTTAAAAAAACCTTTATCAGCAACTAACTATATGGATTCACTAAAATTTGATTTTTTTTTTTGGTAAAAATCTTTAAAAAAGAAAGTACTACCCACTAAAGATTTACTAAACTATATTACTTATTCATCCAAAATTTTCCAGTCAATCGGTACTATTTTAGAATTAGAAGTTCAGCAAAATCTCTTGATACACCAGACATAATAGCCTGGTACTTTTTCTTGTGGGTTTTTTGTTACCTTTTGGCTTATAGTTGCTAATTTTTGGAAGTTCTTTCAAAACTTTCAGACAGGAAAGATACTCAGAATGCTACACAAAAGCACTCTTGGACCCTTGTGCTTTTTCTAAGAGGATGTATGGAACAGATTTGGAAGGGGGTTAAATAAATGAATTAATGAACTTTATATTACTAATACCAGCTGTGAAAAAGCTACTTCTGATCAGCTTTTTGTTTTCAAAGGTTTTGAAATTATTTCCTTAACAATCTTAATAGATTAAAAAAACCCCCAAATAAATTGACTATCGTATTTTTTTAAGGTACATCTTCTATTCTCTAGAAAAGCGCTGGGCTAAGAGCATTAAAGATGCTCTCTAAACAGAAAATGGATACAGCCCTGGTGGCAGCCACACTGAAAGCCTCCCAGTACTGCCTTCCTAAATGCTCCATCACCAATCTGTCTGGGGAGGTTAAAAGGGTCCCACTCAGTCCCTTGCAGAATTTATCGGTAAAAATGCAAACGAATTCTGAGTACGATGACTTTTTTTAAAAGAAAAAACAAACCAAACCAACAAAGGTAACAGCCACTCTTACAGAGCTGCAACCCATCAAATCAATTTGGTTAAGCTATTTATATACATTTCTTCTATGATCTTCTGTGGCATCCTGTTTCACTGAGGTCATGGAGACATTGATGCCTGGTAAATTGCCAGTAATCAAAGGCTGTTAGGTGCTTGTCAGCTTCCTTTCAAGCTTAGTCTATCTTTATCATGAGGAAGACCTAGTTCAGCAGTTACAGACCATTTGTTCATAAACTGATACCACTCAGGAAGCATGCATTATCATTAACCTATCCATACTGTTGCAGAAACAGTTATTCTAAAGCAATCTAATTATTCTAAAATAAGACTGTGCCCAATGAGAAGTGAAGTCTGATTGTGTCTCTGCAACAAGGCTGCCCTCCAAGAAGTTTCCTCCAAGAGGAAACAAAGAAATGCTTTGTTCCCCAGCTCCTCAGCTCTCCTTTAAGCCCTCTCCCACAAGGCTTCTCTTTAGTTTAGATTTTGGCACATATGCAGTGATTTTAGAGTTTTAGTTGCACTTAAGTGCTTATTCCAGCTTTTCCAGTTGATCTTTCGTGTAGTAGTAGTTTGCTGGCCACAGAAAGTCATCTCCTCTCTCTTTCCCCAAATGGAAAAAGATTAGGGTAGGTAATGATGAACTATTAAAATACAAAGATCTTCAGGCATGTTGATCAAAGCCTTCTCATCATAAAATAATTAAGTGAAAAAAATGAAGCAAGTCATCGGTTGGGGCAGATCAGTATAGCTCAACTAAAATAATGAGCCCACATCAGTTAATGCTACCTGTGCACTAGATTCAACGTATGTTTAGAACTATCTGGATATTTAAAAGAAGAAGTTCTGTGAAGAAACTTCAAAGTCTTTTGCAGAGATGCATATTAAAGCTAAATGATCCTGGTGAAATATGTGAGGAAGATATATCTGTCCATCCTATTAAGTTGTTCAGATCTTTGCTGGGTAGAAAAGATATGGTTGTAGGAAGACTTAAAGAAATTCTGAATGTTAAATTAGTCATGAAATACTGTTACCAGTGGAAAGCTTTGGAGAACACCCAAGACAGAATTTAATTGAGATTTAATTTTAAATGATCATTTATTATTAATAAAACTAGTGCTTAGCAAGTCATAACCATTTTGTGAATCCATCATCCCAAATGTTATAGGAGAACAACTCTGAAGCACTCTGTCCCTAGGGCTACCTTCTACCCACAGTAAGAGAATTCTAGCTGTCTCTGCTGAAGATGCATGCTAGCTTTTTTTGTCTCAGTTTTTAAAAAAGAGTAATTTGCTCAAGCTGAAAACAGTGGGATAACTGTCTTCACTAAAAGTCTAACGTGTTCTATCATTTTTTTTGGTGCACAGTTCTGGTTATACTAAATGTTTGAAACATCAGCCCATGAAGTGAAAACAAACTTCTCTCCTCCATCTACCTCTTTCCACTGGTCACGTATACATATACACATACACATACATATACCTATACATACACATATACATGTATGTGTGTGTGTGTTTCTATGCCTCACTGTGGCAAGTTCTCATTCAACTTTCCTCAAGATATAGACCTTCATTTAACCTTCATATTTCCAGACTGATCAACAGTTGCTCACTGTTGACCTACAACAAACTCCAATATATTTTTCTTACATTTTAATATATTTTTTCTTATATAAAACTTGAAAACACACATATGTAGATCATAGTTCCTCCCTTCCTCCCAAACATCTGAATATCTGTTACGTGGATTGTTTTCTGACAAGGACTGCTGGAGCTTACAATTAGTGTCCAGCTTTGAGCAAGGGGAAGGTTTCTTTTGGCAGTGCAAGGTGCTGTGTAATATTACTCAGCAAGGGTTGTAAAAGACATAGGATTTCTTTGTCCCAACAACAGCCTAGTTCCCATTAGATGTTTCAAACTCAGACCACCGAAATACAGTCAGACACCGAATGATACAGCCCTACCAACCTGTGCTGGTAAACTGCTTAGCTGGTTTAACAACTCTCCTTTGCCTCTCTATTTTGGGCATACAGTGTTGCTTCCAGGACTTTGACAGTTTGGGGCAGTTACAATCAGTAGTTTGAGGGCTGCATTTACATTGTAGGCAGCCATTTTCTTCTTTTTCCAAATCCTCTTTCCTCATGTTCAGGCAGCAAATAAATGATGCTGCAAATGCTGCACCAGGGAAGGCTGACAGTCTGCAGTGGCTAGTCTGGTTCTATGTACTGATAGCCAAACAACCTGAAGTATCCTCATAGAGTAGCCTTACTGCTTCCATTCCTGAGTGCACTGTATCTTCAAATTAAATTTAGACAACACTTTAACAAGCTCACTTATTTTAAAATCATAAAATGAGAAGTCTAACTCTTTTTCTAACACATTTCTTTCAGAATATTTGAAAGACCTCTTCACTAACTTGCAGCAATTGCTCAGTGTATGGATACATTTCACAGCTGTCCAAGTGCATGCATCCTGAATGCTACTGGGTCTCATTCCCTTCCTAAAAAGTTCCTATGACCTACAAGTTTGGGTCTCAATCTACAACTACAAGCTGCTGTCATAAAATAGCACATAGTTATTGGTACTAGAAACATCCTCTGGATGCAATCAATGCTCTTTGTGCATAAGCACAGCTTAAGGAGCAATAAACAAAACACAGTCACCTTAATCCCTCAAATGAGGGTAGACTGCACATCAGTATTCTGGTTAGTCAGCCACCTCTTCAGCAATCAGGATAGGGAACTTAATAACATACGATATTTTTGGAACTTGAAAGCACTGTTACAGCACAGAGGATGTGATCTATCTGCAATTATGGTGCTTTCATCTGTAAATTCATCTTACAAGTAAAAACCAGCCACGTACTTGATATAAATTTATACCAGCTCTTACCTTGAAAAAGCCCAAACCTATCAATCAGTATCCACAGATCAGTATTAAGTGATTCCTACTGAAAAGAACCATAGGCCGCCGAACAAGTTTTGGAGGCCTCCATTGCCAACAGCTTGGTGGGCCTGAGGGACACCACAAGCTATAATGATCATCAGTGTGACAGAAGTCTGTCTTACCTTGAATTGTGCCTGTGCCTGAAGTACCAAGCCACTGTAACATTTGACTTGTTTGCACTTCTTGTTTCCTCCACCATGAGACCTACGATAGCATTCATTTGCTAACTCCAGGAAGTTCATGTGATTTTTCAAAAACTCTGAAACCACCCAACTAGTTCCATGTAAACTTTTCTCTCCACTCCCATTTGTCAAGAGCACTACAACATCTCTGCGAGATCTTTTAAGCTGCACTGCGGGGAGTCAGCACACTTTTTAGGTGATGGCAGTGTACCAATGTTAATTTGACTAACCTAGTTCAGCATGCAGTATGCAATTATTTCCTGTTTCCTGATTCTTCCCCCAGACCCCCAGCCTATTTTCAACTTAATTTATAGTTTGGTAAAGATTCTACCTTCAGAAAAGATAGCTAGTCCACAAGCCTTCCATTATGCTGCAGCTGCTGCTGTTGTATTTGTCACTAAAAAAAACTCACCTTGTGTGACAACGGGGTTTGAATCACAATTGCTAAATATATCATGTATAGAAATTTGGTTGCTTTACCTTTTTTCCTGAAGGGGGGAAATGTGAGGGCAAAACCTTACAGTTTATTTCATGCTTCACTACAATGTAATCCTAGACCCTAAGATTTCTAACATTCCTATTTTGGTAATGAATGGAATGTAAAAGGGAGGTATTTAAAATTAATTGCAGCAGTTCTGAAGGTTAAACCTGCTTAACCCAACCTTTTATTAAAAGAATGTCAACAGAGCATATATCTTGTCTAGGGACTGCTGGGACATCATTATTCTTCTACCAGCATGTTTAATTCTAAAACCTGGTATTTCTTCAGGTTCCTCTAGCCATCATGCACATGATATACTCATCCCAAATTATAGCATCTGTTCTGAGCTACTCACTACAGCAGGATTTGACCTGAGAAACTCAAGTTTTGTTTTACTTTATTAACTTGGAGTACTTTTAAACAGTTTTTAAACAAAGTTTTTCCCTCGACCAGCAAGGGAATTTTCAGCCTGAAGTTCTCAGCAGCATCCGGTGAGGCTCTTGGCCAAGTTCTCCAGATACTGTACATCCACAAGGACAGCCTGCTGGCTCTTGCTGTGGCATTTTCTTAATCCTCAGAACAGATTTCCTGGATCTAGGAAATTTAATTCCTGACTCCTTTGACCCAGATGCTGGCAAAAGTGTAGTCTGCAGTCTTTACGGGGTGTTCATAGTTTCTTTTTTTTTCTTTTCTTTTTTTTTTTTTCTTTTTCCTAGGAACTGGCCTTGCTGTTAAATTTTTCTAAAACAGTCTTATTAATATGTTCAAAAATCCACTGTTGAGTTTCAGATAAAGGATCGCATCTGTTCATGAAAATCTTCTTCTCGGCTGGGTTGCAATCTATGCAGCTGCTGCTTACGGGATGGAACAAAGTTTTGTCCTACAGGAATGGAAAAAAAAAAAAGAATTAAGTAGCAAATGCCAAGTCATTGGAAGTGTTCTCATTTTACAGAACATGGATTAACACAGCCCTATCTGAAATCATTTTGTGGTCTCTGTGCGCTAACCTTGTGTAATAACCACAGCTATTATTAGGAAGCTATAGAGAATGGAGTACTTTTTTTCCCTTGGGTTATTATCCTTCATGAAATGGAGGATTCAAGAAAGAACAAGGAGACGTATCCTGGTCTTTAACTAACCACCACATAATATAATGAAAAAATAGAATGTCTTTTAATAATCTTTGCATATCATGTGCTTGCCTGGAGCCTATTTAAATGTCTGAACCTGGAAAGTGGTGGGTTGGTTTTGGGTTTTTTTTCTTTTTGTTGGGATTTGTTTCTGACAGTTTCTCTGGGCAGGAAGATCTGTAGCAATCTCTCTGGAAAATGGATGCTCTTCAACTTGATGAAGATCTTAAAAATGAATTATTAACTGAAATGGTATGATGGACAGATGAGACAAGACTACTGATCTCAGTTGTCATCCCCTGAAATGCAGACTGCCCATGCCCTTGGTAAGACCTGCTGCTGAAATAATGCTCTCTCCTAATAAGAAGGAAATCCTAACACTGTTTTAGCTCCCTAGGGAGATTTTTGGAGGATAAGCAAGGATTAAGTTGCTTTAAGAAGGATATTTATTATTATTATCTTTATTAATTTTGCTTCACGAGCTGTAGTAAGTAAACTGTAAGTAACCTGACCGTGAATATTTGATAAAGCATAAATTACCCAGACAAGCAATTGGTATATGTGGGTTGGGTAGTTTCAATGTAGTTAGTTCATGTAGGCAAGTGTTTGAGAGTGACAGATGTGGGAGTGATTAGATGGTTTGAAAGTTTGCAGGGACTATACATGTACTGTATCTGTTGAAATAAATTTGAGATTACCACATCCATGTAAACCACGTCCAGGCTTTTCCCCTCTGTGCCAAACATACCCTGCTGGTATTTTAGTACTAATCCAGGATGTGCCTGCTCGCCCAGTTTGTGAGAAGGGGAGGGAAAAAAAACCCTGTCAAATTGCAATTGATTAAAAACTCACCCAAGCGCTCTGAGCACTGAGCAACAATCATACTCATACAGAAACTTCTCTTTGACTAACAATACCCTACATTCAACAAAGAAGCCTGAAGACAAAAATAAATGACACAAGTTTAAACTGATAAGATAGTAGCTATTTAAAAACACTTTTGAAAAATAAAGGGTTTGTTTGTTTGTTCTTTTAATTTAGGAAAGATGAAATTGATTGATTTTGTGGGTTGCAAACCACTGGTAAAGCACAATGTCTATTTTTGGTATTAGCATATACAACAATGAGAGAGGTCAAAAGCATCTTGTGCTATGGCTGAGGGTGATGGTGTTACAACTGCCTTTTGCAAAAACTGGTTTTCACCTCCACCATCTGCCCTTCCACCCAAACAGTGGGTAAACACATACAAAAGATTGTAATTCAGAGGGATGCCATCAAAGCTGACAGGACTAAACCAAATGTATAGAGGCCTTTCCATCATGCTCCATTTTGCTTTATGAGGGGAGCAGGTAGGATACTTCAGCTTGCAAGAAGGGGCTAACTGTGCCATGTACAAATGGCTGTCATGTCCCTACGAGGAGGTGTGCCTGCAAGATCTCCCGAGAATCCTATGGGGTAGTGAGGCACCCATTTGCACCTTGCCAGCCCCTCCTGTCCTGGCACTGCCCAAAATCAGGACACACTGACTGCGCCACAGCCACCCTGCCTGCTGTGGCACCTTGGAGAAAGGTGGCATCTTCTTTTCCTTGCCTTATAGCTGGGCATGAAGGTCAGCCAAGCTACTAGGAAGCCCAAGTTGGAATAGTAGAAGCTTTAATAGGATAGCTGGTACAGGAAGAAAGGAAGCAGCTTCAGTACAGAAAAAGCGTACTGTGAAAAACACTCCAGCCTTTCTGAAGAGACCTAGGGGTCTTTCTTCTCACAAAAATATCCAGGGGATGCATTTTTTGAGTGAAGCATTGTTGGCTGGTTATTAGGAGAGAAGAGTGTCTTTTAAGAGCATGGGCACAGTTACCACTCTGTAAAAACTTCTGGCAAAGTCCTATTAATTTATTATCTCAAGTTTACGCTGACCTAAGGTCAAAGCCCTCTGCTCTCATGGATTTCAATGGGAATAGGCTCACGACTTTAAGGGGGAACAGCTGCATGCATGCCAGAAAGAACTTTCCAAGAGAAATATATAAATTCCTCTTTACACTAGTATTAAAAAAACACAAGAGCTCTTGTGGAGACACTTCTAAAATCTGAAAACAGCAGAGTGATTTTTTTTACCTTCTGCATGAAGGCAGGCCTGAAGTTTATTTGCAGAAGGAGAAACTTCTCCATAAGATAATGGGCCTTGACAGTTCAGGGGACTGGTAATGAGCCAGAGTCTTTCATTTCTTCTAGGTCACTGCTATAATGATGACCAAGGTCAATAGCAACTGGAAGTCATTATCAGCTGGTGGCTGCAGTAGTTTATCTGAAATTAGTTGGTAGCCCCAGCACAGTTTCAGTAGGACACATGTCCATATGATAAAAGCCACTATCACAATGACGTCTTTGGTTGTCTGAGGAAATAATGTATGCACCTACTGTGTGAACAGTGAACTTACTCTTACAGTTTGTCCCTGAAGCAGTCAGGAGAGTATGAGCAAACCGTGCTGTTCTGGGCACAGATTTTAATGTTGTCAGTCTAGTGTCTATCATAATCACTGGGCTCAGGGTAGAATTACTGTATAATGAAATTGATTTCGCACAATTGTTTCTTTTTAAAGACATACTAAATCAGCCCTCTCTTGGATACTTGTGCTCTACAAATAGCACTAATGGGACTAAGGCACATAAACTGAATCATACTTTATCACAACCAGTGTAGTACCTGTCAACCCAGAATTGGCTGGTGCTACATTGAAAACCAGAGCCATATTCCTTCACTGGGAAGAATGGGAATTTGTAGGCACTGTTGAACTTTGGCTCTGACATGCTTAGGAATCTCAAACTGAGTCCAGGAAATGGCTTTAGCTTGGGAAGCCACTGTTCTCCCAAATCTCTAATAATTTCAGGTTCTTTACATTTCTCTAATTTCTCACATTTCTTCTATCACTGATGGGAGGACCATTATGGTGTCATGATGTTTTGGGGTTTTTTGCCAGTATTAAACTCACTTTCTTCTATTTCCAACCCTTAGTAATTTTTATGGTATTACTTGGATTTATTCTACTCCACTGCTTTTTACAGGGTTTTCTTAAAGGTATACTTGTCTGTAGACTAATCTTTTGGATTGGTCCTAAAAGAATTGATTACTTAATATCACAGGCTTACTAGACTTTCAAATAGTGCCTCAGATGTAGTTCAAGTAGTATGGGAGTAAGAATAGTTTTCTGACATGTCTATTAGTGGTGGTTTTGGTTTCATTCACCTGTAAAGAATGCAGTTTGCACACTCTGAGACTGCAATGCAATGAGAAACAAAGTGCAGGTAATGGGAATAAACTGGATGTTTTTTTCAGAAGAGCACTCCTTACCCGAAGTAAAATATTAATGTATTCTATTTGCCACTGAAATATTTAAGATGTTTTTATTTGTCAGTATCCAAATACAGGTTGTTAAGGTTTCAATGCTGTAAGAATATGGAATCTTAAAACAGTGCTTGGCTTCAAATTGTATTTGCAGCACTTTGTAATTACTTCACAGCCCTAAATTCTTCTTACCAATGGCTCAAGGATGCAAACGATGATGAGAAAAGACTCATTCTTAAAAGAATAGAAACGTCTTATCTTCTAGTTTTATAGGAACAGTATGACACCATGGTAGGAAACTCTTCATATTAAGCAGCTTATAAGATAGTGACAAACAAGGTGATTTTTCCTAAAACACGGGAAGAACTATTTGCAGGATGGATACATGACCATTAGGAAGTTTCAGTGTCTGTAAGAGGTGCAGAGAACAGAGCAGAAATGCTGACTTGCTCTCTGTTTTTTAAAAGGAGACACTTCTTGCTTAGTTATATTACTATTCATATTTACTTGGGGTACAATTTTAGTAGCATATTATCCTCTAGGTAAAGGGCTCTAGTACAGATGGAGTTAAACCAATATAACATCCATTTATTTTATTTTCTTTGAGGGGACATCACTAAAAATTCTGTTGCCAAGATGCTTTCAAAACTAGATAAGGATTATACCACCAAGATTTTGGAGATATAGCTGTACCACCAAAAAACATCTAACGTAATTCTGCTCTGTATCTGAGGAAATAGATTATGTAAAACAATAAAAAACACTTACTGTGTAGCCAAACTAGAACTAAGCCTAAAGAAAACCATGTTTACATAATTCTATTATTCCAATGCTGTTTCTTTATTTGAAGGTTTATGCAAACTAATCAGCTTGCTGTCAGGTTGGTATTACAGTTAAGACTGCGTCAGTACTTCCATCATTACAAAATTTTGTGGTATATCTTATTGAGATAGAAATGCTTGCCTTGCATTGAGAATTTTTATGTGAGCCTTGTCAGCCTTCTGGAAATTAAAAATGAAGCTGTGCAGAGAATTTAATAGAGCTCACAGTGTATTTTTTTCAAAAGTCATTTTTATTTTAGTTATCTGCTATATTCTATCCTCATCAAACGCGATGAGCCTTAGAGAGGGCAGCTTCAGACCCGTATTTTGTCTTATGAACTGGCTACATTAAGCACCAATGAAGTGCTAAAGGTATGAAAGCTTCTTCCTTGCAGCTTGGATAGGCAAAAAGATAAATCAGAAGGCTTTTGAAGCAAGAAGTTATTACTATATCATTATAAAGCCAGATATGCAGCAATACATCCACAACAATTTATATCCTTTAAATATCTGGCCCATACATTCTAACTTTGTTACAGATAATACTTCCGTTTCAAAGGGATTACGCTTCTGGAAAATCTTGTGGTAGATCTCCAGCTGCAACATAAATAGGGTAAAAAGGCACAGGCTAATAAGTAGGCACTCAGAAAAAGGGACAGGGCAAACCTATTTTTAATGGTTCTGAATTAGTTTTCTACTATATATAATTTCAGACTAGAAAGCAGTATTGAGATTTATCTGACCAATTCCTGGCACTTTGGCTTCAGTTTAAGCAAGGTGGTAGACAAGGCACAGTAGTTAAAGAAAAGTAAAGGATGTGTGAGAGGAATCTTCAGTGCTTCAGAGAAATGTATGTCTTTATCCTGCAACTTGCTGATTAATCTTGTAAAAAACCCTAACAACAACTTGGTAGCATTACCAGGACTTTTTGCCCTAAATGAGGCTCTGTCAATTTCTAGCTTGACCTTTGTTCCCATAAAAATGGGCTGAAACTCAGTAGATCAAAGTAGTGTCTAAGCTGCTTATCTTTAGTTTATAAACTGCTTTCTTTGGGCTTACAGCAGTGCTTTTAAAGTTGGGTGTATTTTGGTTTTTTGTTTATTTTAAAGGGAGATTTTTAAAATCTTTAAAATGTAGATCTTAAAGATCTTAAAGATCTTTTAAGATCTTCAAAGTGTAGCAAAATATTAATACTTAACTCACGAGCAGCATTTCTTGCTGCTGTTACATTCAATGAAAATATTTCCAGCAGTGCCTCTGTTAAAATGTTACAAGCATCTTGAAACACCAGAATGGTGAAACACCTTTCAGGGAACAGATCTAACACAGATACCCTCAGAGCTGGATCATATTAATTTTCATTTAAATTTGACCTAAATACCTGAGTGCTTAAAAGAAATATACCTGAGAGAGATTACCACAAAATTAAACTGGAATAAGATGGGGTGGATTTTAAAACAAAACTTCTCTGATGAGAAAACATAAGCCTGCACTAAACTGAATTTAGGCTCAAGACAATCTGAACCTCTGACCTTCCTATAGCTCCAGTGCTGGTTTCCCTTCATCCCATGACAGTCATACAGTGTGACAGGGCTACTGTGTGAAATGGCGTCGAAGCAGAACTTCCTGGTGTGAAGGGGCTCCCCAGGTCGGATGTCTTCTCTCCAACCAAAAGTGAAGAGCTAGAAAAACAATCAGGCAACATAATGATATATTACTAGTGAAAAACGTTTAAACCCATACATATAGCTTGATCCTGCCTGTGTACAGACTGCCTGTGTAAGGCCAACTGCTTTAATTGAAGTGCATCAGTGCCAATGTGGAATATACCCCAGGGCTTAAACCATGACAGGCAGGGAAGAAAAAAATCTCTGGTGGCACAGTACAGTGCAGAGGAGAGGAGATATGCTGTATTAAAGCCTTTAGTCACCCCAGTTAAAGCAGCATTGGTGTGCAGTAGGACTACGGCTACTCAGGACTCAGAAAGCCTCTGCTAGCTATGCTCCTCTAGCTTTCATTTGGATCTGAAGCTACCTAGAGAGATTTTCCCATCATAGCATCTTTCCCATGTTTAATGAACAGTTTCCTTCTGTTTATATGGGAAACTGTTAGCATACCCTCTCTTGACTGTCTTCCCTAAACAACACATGTTAAATGAATTCCATCTTTCTACTGCGAGACTTGTGAGCTACAGGCAGCTTGTTAAAGACCTTTTTCTCACTGCCTGAGAGGAATCATGGAGGGTCACAGTTAACAGAGGAATCTTTCTCAATTAGACACCAGCTGTCTGAAATAATGCTGTGACACTGCAGTCTTTCAATCATCAGATGAAGGTGACAGGTCTGACAGCACCAGATTTAAAGACGCAGAGTGCATTTTCCCTTCCCATGGACCGATCCTTGCAGAAAACAGGTTGCAGGCTGTAAATTACTACCTAGAAGCTCTGCTGAGAGCTGTGAAGTTTTATTCTCTCCCTCCCTCTCCCCCTTTTTTTTTCTTTTTGGTGTCAGAGCTATTCTTTGTCTTTCTGCTTGACTTTTGATTTTCCATAGTATAAACCAAAACATAACATTGAGAAAGTGAAGCTCTTTTTAAATGAGCAAACTTTGCTAGTGGAAACTGTTTAGCTGTGATGGTTCATGTAAAACTGGCTTGTTAGCTAGAGAGGCAGCTCCCCATACTGTGCTCAGACTGCCTCCAGCACTGCACCTACCTCATCTCAGGCTCCTTTCGGTCCTTACCTAACACCCTGCTCCCTGCAATGTGTATATTCCGTGATAGAAACAGTATCTACAAATGACACTCAGTGTTATCTGGGTCTGATCCTGAATGCTTCTGGTGTGGTTCCCATGTTTTAAGCCTTTCATTGTGATAGCTATCTTCTTTCTGTGTTCCTCCTAAACGATACAGCTTTGAAACAAGCTGCATTCTTCAATACAGTATCATCCTCCAAATGACACATTTGAGAGCCATTACTGTTTCCCTTGGCCTGCAGGCACAAACTACAAGCATATACCTGAATATTTGCCTTTTTCATTGTATGTCTTATTGTAAGCCCTTGTTCATTCTGTTAACTGCTGTTGCTCCCTATTTACTTCAGTATTACAGGTTTTCTAGACAGGATTTTCTTAATCTGCCCTGCTGTCCTGCTTATTTCTTCTTTCTCCCGGAGTGCATTATACATTTATCTGCAGTAAAAATGCAGTGGACAGCTTTAACTTCATTTTCAAAGCAATCTCTGCTTTTTGAAAGGTTAAGTCTTTTTCCACTTTTCTTCATGTTTCCTGGAACCAGCATCATGGACACCCTACAAAGATAACATCATTTCACAAGTAAAGGCAGATTTGGTACAGAAAAAAGCTACACTGCTGTTTCTTTAGAAAAAGAGAAACCTGGGATAATTTTCCCTTCAGGAAAAACCAACAAAAGCCATTTCTTTCTCTTACTCTCTACCTTTCTACAGCCAAGTAATAAACCTAGAGTTCAAAGTGATGAATAACGAATACCTAGAGGAATGCTGTGGAACAGTGGTTCTGCAATATTCTCACTCTCATCACTACAACAAGAGAGGGATCCCATTGCAGGACATTCCTCATCTTTCCCAGTGGGTGGCTTTCCAAATTTCTTACTCTGTGCATGACTGGTGACCTGAGGGACCAATTTCTGCTGCTCTCTGGACCTTGGCCCAAGGACTACCACCCCAGCGAATGCATCACTACACTTGAAAGGCTCAAGCTAGCCCTTAAAGCAGATCATACTGATCCAGGCTACCTCTTTGCTCTTTCCAGTGCTGTGTGGTTTCTTAAGACTGCCAGGGCCACGTCCTGTTTGACAGCCAAGACGTGGTAACAGACAGGGTTTTTTTAATCTCTTTCATGAAAACCAGGATCTGTGCAATAGTAGAGCTCAACATTTAGACTGGCACAGATTCTTTGCCTCCTTCTTAGCCTCCTGTTTTGTAAAACAGTTTCATTTTTACATCAACAAGTATATCTTCTCCCTAGTGATACTATTATAAAATAACCTTGTTAAGGACAAGAACTAAATTTTAGGACTAAGAGAAGAGAAAAAAGATTGATCAGAAAAAGGTTATACTTCTCCATACACTTAATTAATGTTAAGATCTTGTAATTACAAACAAAATTTGAAGTCTTTCCAATCTCAGCATTCTAAGCCACTCTCCATTACACAGCCAATTCTCTTTAGTTAACACTAAAACTGGTGAATATAGAAATTCTGTCTCCACTGCCTAATGTGCTACAATGCTTACATGTTATCAGCCAAAGTCCTGAGAACACAATACTCTGCTTTGCTGCCACCTGTCACTTTGGATTTTGTTGTTCCTTTGACCTTAACTGTTAGGAGCCACCTGCATTGTGTTTTATAAGAAATGAATGAACCTTTTTGTACCCCTTCATTCATTTCTGTCTGCTTTTTGATTTGAAACAAGGCTGTACCTACATTTCCAGGCACATTATTAACAAACAGCAGGCTGGTGATAACCTTCAACCTGCCAGGCTGCTGTTGCTGGACCCAAGAAACCTCCTTTGCCTTCTCCCATTCCACAGAGCCCATAAACCACAGCCCCACCCTCTGCATTTGCAACCAAGCAACCACTAAGCCCTCATGCTTTAGCTTTTCATGCAGCCTAGCCTTGTCGCATAGTATCTGGGGAAAATAGACCTTTCCAGCTTCATTTATAATTGGCACAAGGCCTGAAGAATGATTGCCTGATACAGCCATTGGCTTGGGAACGCCTACAGGACAAAGGCCCTTTTGATAACATTAATGCCTTCCAGCCTGACAACATTGCTCAATTACTTGCTGCCTGGCTGGGGTCTGTCAGCTGGCATTGTGCTTTGACTATGGGTTAGACTTGAGTGGACAACATCTGCCCTGCACAAAGAGGAAACGCCGCTTTTCAGAACTGTGCTCTGACCTGAACTATACCCCCAGGTAGAGAAGAAAGAGCTCAGCAGGCTGCCCAGCTGCTTGCTGGGCTGTGCTAGAGACGATGCCTGTCCACCTCACTCCCTGGCCAGGCCTGGGGACTTGAGAAGAGAGTGACACCTATCATTTTCCTTTGCTGCTGGTTATCAGTCCAGCAGGGATTCAGTTTTCCCTGACGCCAGAAATTAGCTCTTGGGCAGACAGAGTTGGAAGAAGACCACACTGTACCATCCTCCTGCCTGTTTCCTTCCCCTTGTGTTTTAATTTTGGGGAAGTTTAGAGAAAGTGCAGCAACACTCCTCCTTGCTTCCCACCCTGCTCCTGTTCACCAGAAAGCCTGCAAGTGCCCCACGAACCTTTTGTCTGCTGTTTGCCTGCCAGGGCTTGTACAGCCCTGGGGTGGAAGGTCTCCTCCTTCTGCTGGGGGCTGCTAAAGGCTGCACCCCCCCAGCACAGCTGCTGAGACTGGCAGCTTTTAATTCCTGCCCTGGTATCGCAACATGAATCAAATGGCACAAAGGATCTCTAGCGGCAGCAGCAGCACTGACACCTGCTGCAGTGGTCACACCAAGCTATTGTAGTTTGCCACCAAACTCTGTAAATTTATACCACAAGTTACAAGACCAGCTCAGCGCCAATCCAAGCTATTTGAAATACGATAATAAAATGCTTGATATTTTCATTAATGCTGCTAGTTTCTACTGGCATATATACAAATCACGAAGGCAACAAACTCAAGAAGATATAAGCAATAAAGTGTTACTCTCTGAGGGCTGGTCAGGTGTTCAGCACTTGTTCCCAAACACTCTTTAACAAAGTTCACCTTCTCAGCTTACTATGGTGCAAGTGGAAGACCACACCTCCTCAGGAGATGATTCATTAGACTGTGGTCCCACACACACTGGAGGTAACGCTCCAGACCAGAAAGCCTTTGGGATTGAATATGAGTCAAGGAATTTCCATCATATTATGCTGATCTAAATCACACTTCTATCAACTGTCACCAACCTAGGGCTAGATTTTAACACACAACCCCGCAACAAATGAGTTGAAACGAAAGCAAACAGCTTGCTTTGAGGGTTGAATAGCTAAACAGCTGCTAGATAATTAAGCAGCCTTTGGGTGTGTTTGCATTTGCTTGCCTGGAGCTGCAACAGCCTCAGGAGGAGCATTCGGCAGTGCCTGCCACCCAGTCCCTCATCTGCAGCAGCCCTGAAAACTCACCAAACTGACCAGCAAGCAGACCTTTCCCAACACGGCCACACTGCTTAGGTGGGAGAAGTGTTCCCTAGCAGCATTTTCCATGGTGTCCCGCAGTGAGAAGGTGCATGCTTTTCCACACCAACCTGGCAGAAATAATTCATGCTGTCCCTGGAGCGCAGTTTAAACATGATTGCGCTTGAGGCTAGTTTTGGTTCTGTGATCTGAAGAGCTGGCTGGTTGGACTCCCCTTGCTTAACCCTATTTATCATAATGAAGTTGCTTATTGTCAGTATAGAATGAGACCTTTACATGGAGTCTGATCCCAAACGTCACAATGCACTGAATTACACTTGAAACATGGATTTCTCCCTAACATCCTTCTCCCTTTGCAACCATTCCCCTTCCTCACAAGCATTTACTGTTTCAAAGGATACTTCAAGTCCCCCTTTGCTCTGCTTTCCTCGCTAAATTTTTATTCTCTCACCTTTTCATCCAGTTTTCTTCCCTCCTTTCTCTCATCTCTGGCAGCCTCAGGACTCCCTCCCTCCTGAGAAAGGTCTGGAGCTCTTCAGGTTTGTAGATTTTAAAGCCAGAAAGCACTGTGATGATCTAGTCTGGACCATACAACTTCCTTCAATTAATTGCTTTAATTGTTGGCTGTCTTTCATAAACAAACAGGGTTATATTTATCTAGCCTTGGCATCCTATCACTGTGCTAGATCTTTGGTAGCTATGTGAAGAGGTCTTCTTTCAGTAACTTTCTTTTTCCTGTGTTGGCTCTTCCCTAAACTGCAATCATCCTTCAGGTTCTCCATTTCATGCACTTGCACCTCTCCTCCTGCGTTTCTGAGTATCCTCGGAGAAGGATTTCTTGACCTCAGCACTTCAAATACCCCTTAGAACTCTTCTCTCCTGAGCTTTTTAAGCTTCTACAAAGTGCTATGTGTGACTGTCAGGTCAATATTTCTCCTAAGCACTGGGAATTTTTTCTAATCTGGGACCTTCCCCTGTGAAAGGTATGCTCACTAAAATTGCTAATAAATAGTTAGGTTGTACTTTTCATCCAAATTCTCTTTGCTGAGGTTGGCCAGACCCATAGCCTTTGGGTCATGACCCCTTTCCTATGGCACTCATTATGAGTACAAACCAGAGCTCTTTTCCTCCGTTCTCCTGAGAGCTAATATTTTCTTACCTAGATAAAAGCTTTTTTTTGAAACTTTATCATTTCTTGTCTTTCTGAAATGCTTTCTTTCTAGCTTTTACCCATTTATCTTGCTTATGTCTCATATTTATTTGAAGTACAACCTCTTATTGAACTTACTGAGATGAAAGCATAGAAGCAGACAACCACTAGCGCTTTACAAGCCCAGGTACTATATTTAAAATATTTTCAGGTAACTGAACCAAGATCAACGTGTTTTCATGACACAGTGGAGGAGAATGGGGCACCAAAAAGCAATTCAGGTATTTTGGAAATGAAGACTAATACCCAGTCCAGGTGGCAGCTGGAATTTCTGAGGTTATGATAAAGAGTAGTCTGTAAAAGCCATTAAGGTAGGCAATAATTTACAGATTAGTTCCACACCCTGCTTTGCCTGAGGAAGAGCCCTCAGAGAAATGTTTAGAAACTGGAGAAGCAACAGTTCTACACTGCTTTTCTCTTTCGCCATTAAAATACCTGTTCATGTGACCATGTCCGTTCTGAGCCATCCTTCACACAGATGTCCAGCCTCAGCTCAGTCCCTGTGGCTCCGTGTTTACTGTCCACACAGAGGTTGGCTGCCACGTTTCGAATCTGCAAACCCAAGCAGCAACATGTCACATTACACCAGGCTGTGGAATAGGGCTTTCAACATTAGGTCTAGCTCTGAAGGACTTCAGAATGACCATTACATAAAACTGGTGGGAATTGTTTTTTGCAGAGTAGAGAGCCATGTCCTTAACTGAACTATTCTTTTTGGGAGCAGCTTTAGAAGGAGCAAAGTTTCTGTTTAACAAATGAAAGGCAGGTCTCTATGAAATATTTTCATGCAAAGAAACTAAGAGAAAAATTGTCTGAGAAGTTGAAAGCTTGGCCTGACTGCTCCTACCAAAGCAAGAGAGATCAACTGTATTAACAGGAAATTATTTCTGTGTGAGTTCCTCACGGGCTTTGGAGCTGTATTTCTTAATGAACCAGGCACACCCTGTTTCCACTCCTTGTTCTTTGACACAGTAATACTGTTGTAGATAAGGTCACACACTAGTGCCCTAAGTGCATAAAATCAAAAAGTACTCAGCAAATCTATGCTGAAAGTATGCTTACCCATGGAGGTTCCTTGTGCTGTCTGCACGCCTTCTGCAAACACTCTGCACTGTAACTTATTCTTAAAAGAAAAATCTCATTTTTGAGATAGAAGCAACTGAGTCATAATTAATCTGTGACCATCAGTCATACCACTTATGTACCATTGCTGCCATGTGTATTTTTTGAAAGACTGGGTTGAAAAGGAGTTGGTTGCCCACTGCCACCAAAAGGAGTGAGATCCCAAATTTATTTTGCAAATACATGCACATTTCTCCTTAAGTACCTTAGCTATTTAAAATTCTTTAAGACACCTCCAGAATGAAGAGGATTTCTTAAAATACTTACCCTGTCAATGAGATACACAGAAACTGAGTAATCAAAGTGCATGTACGTGCACGGAAACATACACAAATACTATATGTATAATATGTAGAAAGCAGGTGCATATTTTGACATTCTGGCCACTACTTTGATCCTTAATTAAAAAAAAGAAAAGCTAAATGCCGAATGGAGATTGAGTTGACGTGTATTTTTCCATGGAAAATATTTCAGAAGTCACTGTTGCCATATTATGTTAGAAAAATGTAAACATTGCAACTGCATACCTCATACACATCCAAAAGATGGAAAACCTCCCAGCATAGTGCAAAACATTGCAAGGAGGGGCAATTCTCTTGCTTGCAAGACACAGGGGAGAACTACTCTGCCCTTTTTCTGATTCTGGAGGGCTGGAATTGAGGCTGTCTACCTTGATCTAAGAAAGATTTAGATAGACGGGAAAGCAACACGAAGTGGAGAAGATGTAAAAAGGTCACCTTCAGGAAAGTTTTTAGGAGCTGCATTTGTTTAGCTTAGAAAAGAGCAGATAGGGCAAATAATGGGGGAGCATTAGTTTGAGTGATTGGCTCCAAGAACCTTTGAGCCTTCAACAGATCTCAGAGAAGTATTCTTCTAAAACCTCGACAAGCCAAGTTCTAGGGTATTTTTGCTTTTCTTTCAATAGAGTAAAACCTGCTATAGGTGAGGTAAGCCACTAGCATTTCATACACACAACCAGATGCAGAAACTCTGCACTGAGAAGCCCCATAGTACAAATGATCATGTTAAGCGAAAAAAGAAGGATGAAAAATAATTAGTTCTCAAGAACCATGCCTTCATTTTCATATCACCCAGCAAAAGAGACAGGAAAGATTAATGAGGGGAAGAGATTTTAATTTTACATTCTTAAAGTTTTATGTGAAATACCTCCTCCAAGTATAATTTTGTTTGAGAGTGTTCAATCATTTCTCAGTGCACTTAAATTTACATTGATAAATAAAGATTTCTGGCCTAATACAAAATTAAATGATACATAAGTTCTGTTCTTAGAGCGTATGAGCTAATTAAAATGGAGCTGCTAACAATTGCCATTAATAATTGGGTATATTTATGTGCTTCAGAACTGTAAAATGACAGTGAATATACTCCGCATCCAGTGAATGGCTGTTGGACTAAAGGGCTTTCATAATTTTGTCTTGATTGGCATAACTCCATCCCATTCTCAGTCATTTGGACTATGCGGCCAATGTGTCCAGCACGTTTCTGGAAAAGGTTTGAGCTGAAGCTACATTTAGTTCCTTCACTGCTGGAATCTGCCTTCCCTGTTCTTTATTTCCTCTCCTCTTCCCCCTGCCCCTGAAAGGTTTCCTTGCGTTGGTTCTTCCTCTGATTTGTTGCAGCTTACATGTTAGCTCATTGGGTTTTTTTGTTTTATCCTTCCTTTCCACTGCAGAGGGGTCATGGTTTGTTTTTCATTTTCTTTTTGCAATACAGGCATTTCAGTCAAGTCTGTGCTTTTGTTCTCTGGCATTTTCTGTGTGGCCTTGGCAGTTGTTAGAAATTGAACTGAGCCATCATGCTGCTGCCAGAGCCACAGGGAATATTCTGAAAGAGCACCAGCACCACACAGCCTGCAAATCCCCTAAGATGCTTTTATGGATGAAGGAAGGAAAACAGAAGCACAGTAAGGAGAAGCTTTTTTCTCATTTATACATCAATATACATTTGAACTGCCTTGTCTTTGGTCACACAGCACAATGGATTTTAAATTTTTGAGGTTATGAGTTACAACTAGAAAAGAAATAGCTAGTGATCCTAATACACTCACATTTCTGACATTTGCATCTGGGCAATTGTGGAGACTGGGTATGAACAGGAGGCAGATTTTATCACCCATGCAGAAAGGGCATCAAGTTGCTACATTGAAAGCCTATCTGCTCCTTGAATGCTATAATTTGTGTACACAGGTAGGTATATGGGGAAAGCATGCTCTCGAGGAGTCTGTGTGGACTAACAAGATGGTTATTGGTGATCCTAAAGGCTGCTTCAGAATTGAACACATTCTGAGAAAAGCATAGGACACTACATGTAAGTCATTAGGCATATTTAGTTCTTGAAATGTCATCTTGAAATGCCAACACCACATGCTGGGAGAGATGCTAAGACTATGGGTCCCATAGTCCTTATGGAGAGTGGATAAGGTTTAAGAGCACAGAGAATACAACCTTTAAGGGGTTTGATTTCTCCCTCTTTTACACTGGAGGTGTCCGAGCAAGACTGTACATACAGGCTTTTTAGTGCTGCACTGACGTTTGTGAAACATCTCTCCCAACATGTGGTGTTGGTGTCACCTGAGTGGGATTTCTGCTGGTGTATCATCCGACTCCTGTGCTTTAAATGAGGTATAAAGTCATAAGGTGAAGTCCCTGGGTAAACCCAGATACAGTAATCTTTGGGTTTTACAAAAAGCAGTGAACTTATGTTAAAACTACAGCTTGCATTCTCTAAGTTAGCTGGCCCATGTTAAAGAGATTTTTCTCCAGAGTAGGCTAGGCCTTGAGAGTAGTTTAGCTCGCTGGCACTGTGATGGGGAAGGAGATACCCTGCATGCTCATCACAGCACAAAATACCCTGCATGCTCATCACAGCACAAAACTGTCTGTGCCAAAAGCAAAAAGTGGGAAAGCATAGAAATCTGAATTTATGTTTAATATGGTCATCTGTTAGAATGATGAATGTGGAGATGGTGCTGGGACTACCCTTAGGGTGCCCCAGAACAGCAACAAGAGAGCCACCCTGGTGCTATCAGTTTATATAATACTTTCCATACATTTGACTTAATGGCTCAAATAAGAAAGTGGCTGTAACTCTTTGAAGACATTAGCAATGTTCATTTATATTGCTTTTTTCATTTGAACAGCTCTTAAAGCCAGTTTTAGCTTACATTCTCAGATAAGCCTAGGGCCATCAGTGTCTACAGATCAAATATGGAAAAATGAGCCACCTTTCCTGTCAACTGATACATAGTAATTTTAGAAGTATTTATCCTTTGTGTGAGCCATAAAAAGGAAAAGTCAAAGTTAAAAGAAGCCAAGCGCTGCCAAAGACCTCACTGAAGAAACAGGGGACTCTGTTATTCAGCATGACACTGATCCCAATGAAAGAATTTGAACAGCCCAGCTGTGTGCAGCGCTTGCTCTGTGCAGGGTGGGGAATAGCTGGTTATATCTCCTTTGTACAACAGACGTGTGACACTTGGTGGGCTCAGATTGACTCATTAAGAGTACGAGTATGACACTTTAAAAAAAGGAAGTTATCAAAAGAGAAGTTAGTGAGTTCTTAGACTTTAATCCTTTTTCAAATGTGCTGTTCGACTTAACTTCATGGGTGACATTTTCATGCCACTGCTGTAAAACACTTCTGTAAAATTCAGAAGTTTGAGAGTGAGAAAGGACTATTTTCAGGTCCTACAGCTCAGCAATAATGCAGCGACTGAAAGACTTCATGTATATTGTCATTGAATAACAAGTTCATATAAAGCAAATGAAATTAAGCTTAAGTATTTCTGTTTTGACTGAATAATTCTTTTTTTCATATCACCTTGACTGTAAGACTCATGAAGTCTAAAATAAATTACAACAGCTGACATTATATTATTAATTTACTGTAAAAAGTGTTTTCAAAGATATTGTTGGAAGCTGTGATAGCTGCATAATATATTCATGCTGGATTACAGCTTGCAGACTCATGAGTACTTCCTAAGAAAACATTGGATATCCAAATCTCACCTAATGAAGCTATTGTTTTAACTTCATTCAACAGGATTTCAAATACACATTACAAATAAATTATTCTGTCTTAGAAAGAGAATGGGATGGGTATTATTGTTTTTCCATGTGCAGCATACTTCCCAGTATATTTGGAAGGGTAAGAAAAAAACCTAATTGAAAACTTTTCTTTTTTCCATGATGAGAGAGGAAAGAGTACAGTTATCTCAGCCAGACACAGAACTGACAATCTCACTAACCTTGTTCTGTCTGGATTTGCTGTTACATTGCTTTACTACACATATTTCAGATGTTACAAGGCAGAATAGAATAGTAAGTGAACGTACACCTTGCCAGCCACGAAGGACAAAAGGCAGAAACATGCAGAAGAGATAAAGCTATGACAAGCATAGTGAAGAAGAATGGTTTTTACTTTTCAAATTTCCTTCTTTTCCATCATAGTCAAGAAATGTAGGGGGTCACATTTTAAATAAATGCATTTGTAAAAAACCAGGAGTTGTACAGAGGCTGTTTATGAGATGTCTGCTTTCTTACCACGCTTTTACTACCTAGATATCAAAATGCTGGAGCCAAAAACTGTCTGAGTACCTCATTGTTTATTCTTTCTCACACTGGTATAGACAAGCAGACATAAAGTCTTTCCAAGTGGAAGCAGAGAGGGTACTAAATGACAGTCTTGGCACAGACTTCTGGTGTGTATAATCAGCAAGGTTTCTGAAGCTGCTTGATTCTTACAAAGCAATAACACACAGTCTGTTTTCCTCTTTCAGCTTCTAATTATGACAACCATTGACCTTCAAGTTTTTTCAAGTATCTTGCAAGTGCCAACAAATTAATTAAAACTTCACAGGAATACGACAGTCTCAGGAAAAAATAGAGCAGCAGGGCTGAAACTTCTCATTGTTTAAGAGAAAGTACATTTTAGAGGAAAAAAGAAAGCCTTTGGTCTTCGCTTCCTTCCTAAAAACTCAGTAAGTACTTTTAAGGTACAGATTTGATACTACTGCTGTGATTTTTTATTTTCTTTGTAAAAGTCTTGTTTTTTATGCAAAGGGTATATTAATATTGTTGTGAAAAGAATGAATACCTGAATCGCTATCTATTCTGCTTAGACCCTCTGGTTGAGTTAAGGGTTGTTCAGCTGCCCAGAGAAATTACGTATCTCATGATCACAGTCATCCAAGGACACAGATATATAGATGTGGAAGATGGTGAACGAAGATCATAGTAGCAGTTGCAAAACCCTGATCCAGCTTGACTTCTACTGATAAACTCCTTACCCCATGGTATACATTAATCCCGTAAAGTGTGGACGGCAGCATCAAAGGTAAAAGAAACTTCAACAGCAAAGGAATTAATTATTGCCAAGAAGTAGCAAACAGTAAGACACATGTAAACTGAATTTCCTTTGAACATCTGTAATTGGCAGCTGACAAAGAAGACTTAAGGACTGCTGCTACCATAGAAAGTTATTTTTAAAATTTGGAATGAGGTAACTTGTTTTTTAAAAAAAGACATTCTGGAGAACAGTAGAGGCACCTATGTTTAGAAACCCCTTGCATGGTCCAGCCTTGACTACTGCGGATATGCAGAGGTGTGAGGGGTCTTACCAAACGCTTTGATCAAAGTTTCAACTTCAGCCCCAAGAACACCTCCAGCAAAATCAGAGAAGGCCAGAATTCACAGTACAGATAATTCCTATGGTTTTTAAAAGAAGTAGCACAATACATTGAAAAAGCAAAGCCTTCTTTATAAATCTTAATGAATTGAGAGGAAAAACCGTCTGCATTGCCACGTTTCCATGGAGTGAATGCACTGTAGTTCCTCAGGGTAAAAAGCTACTGCAATTTTTCAGCAGAGCTATGGAAGTAATTTTCTGTCCCTGCTCTATTTGTGTTTTCATTTCTTCTACACAAAACAAACTGTCAAAGCAGGATGTGCTACAGCTCTGCTCTTCAGAGAGGACTGAATGCAGAACATCTTTGATCACAGGTAGAGAGTTCCATCAGGCTGTTTGCTCATCCCTGCTCTGGAGTGATGCTCAGATACTGGCTTTTCTTTGGTGGTCTCCCCCTCCCCTCATCCCCCAAATGAGAAATTGCATTTGTCTGCTACTGGTATTCGGCCATGACAGCACCTATAGAATGTAGACGACAAGCTGAGCAAAACCAGTCCTTTTAAAAGAAAAGTATCAACTGTTACACTTGCAACATGTGAGCAAAACAGCAAACTTAACTCCCACTACATACAATTGTCCTTATAAGAACAGGAGAAGGTATGTAAGTTGGTATGCAAAAAAAAAAGTGTTGACTTCAGAGCTCCTTTTTACTGAGGTGATTCTCAGCATCCAAAATCATCTTGTGACATGCAATAATGAGTGCTATATATTCTTTTCCACATTCATATCCTCATTGTGCATGCATCTCATGGCCTGTACACACAAAATTGTAATGAATTATAAAAGGGACAGCGACAGTGCTAAGACATGATGGTTTCTCATTTTAATGCTAGTCCAGGGATTGTTCCAACCACTGTGAACTCCCTTAATAACACTACTTATCGTGGGAGCTAAATCTAATTTCATAATTTTAATTTCCTGCAATGTAAAATGTTAGATTTATTTAAATTTGATCCAATTTCTGTATTCCTCACCTCTCCCCAGGCAGCAGGTGGAGGCTCCACAGGAGGGTAATATTTGGGGACATCCCAAGCCACTGCAGCCATGAACCACTTGAAATCTTTACATTTAAGGTGCTTGCGGAGTTCCTTCTGGGCAGAGATATCACCAGTTGAGAGATGTCTATACTCAGGCCGTCGCTGGTAAATGTATTCTGCAAACTCATCCATCCATGTCTCTGCCACGCGCTTCAGGTTCTGTGCAGCAGAAAAAAAGCAATTATTAATTTCTTCCTGCTTTGAGTGAATTCTGTTTCTAATGGGGAGAATGAAAGAAGGAAATTCAGTAGCCCACACAACTTTTAAGCTTGGCTGGTCTAATTTCTCAGTCTTAAAACATAGAAAAATAGTGGTAAATGTAGGTTATCTTCATTACAGTGTTAAGCAAATACTACAGAGTATTAAGTACGTTGCTTTCATGCTGACTCTATAGGGTACGGTCTTCTGTCTGGTGAACATCTTATTTTCCTTCAGGTTTTTTGCACATCTTCACATGGGTTTTTGATTAATGATGGATGTTGAACAGAAGTTTTCTTTCAGCTGCTCACATTGGTACCCATGCTTTTTTTCCTGTTAGTTCAGAACCTCCTAATGTGCTTGAACGGTTCAAATTGCTCCTGATTTATTTCACTTTGCATTTGAAAGGCATATGAACTTTCAGCTGTCATCATACTGCTTGTCTGCCCCACTTCACAGCTGGTTTTGTGCTACCTTGGGGCTGGAAGATCTGCTGTGTTGGTGTGCTAATAAGTCTGTGCAAAAGCATAGCACATAACCCTGAAGTGGAGCTGACCTGAAGCAAAGCAGCTTATAGAATAGGTATGGCAACTCGTGACCTTCTGCAGTCATACTGTAGACATATCTAAGACTATTTCTGTTCCATAAAACCCAGTTCTGGCTTATGACCAACAAAGTTTACTTCTGTTTGCATTTTACAGGAAAGAGAATTACCTATTTTTCTGCATAAGAGCTTATTCAAATAGTAATGATTTAAATTAGATGCCTCAAATTATAAAAAAATAAAAAAAAAACTTACAAGGGAAAATCCTGAGTAGATGAGACTAAAGAGCTATATTTATTGTTATTTAACATCATGGAGTATGAATAGGCTGGGGGCAAAATTTTCTGTATTTTTTTTGTTTTTAAAATTCCTCCTGCAACTCAATCCACACAAATTCATACACAGATGTTGTAGTGGAGTACAGGCTTGGTCTATTTTGCATTTCCACAGCTGCCCAATAACCTCTTATCCCACCAACAAAGCAACATCTCAGTGGATGATATTGAGACACTAGGGTGTTCTTTCTGCTTTGTTTGTAAAAACAAGATAATCAAGTTTTATAATATTCTTTTTATAGAACACTAACTGCAAAATGCTGACATTCACTCTGTAATAAGCTGGAGGACAATATACATCTGATTATCATCAACATAAGGTAATGTTTCTTCTCAGAACTTTCTCTGCATCTAAGTAAGCCTGATTCGTACTCTGATTCGCTTTCAAGATTCATTTGAAAATTCCTTTCCTGAATTTTATTAATCCATGCAAACTAAATGTCTCTGAACTAATAAGGCTTATCTGAATACAAAGACAGCAAGATACAGAAAAAATGAAGTACTTTTAGCTGACACCACAAGATAAGTTTCTCTGTGCTTTCTCTCTGTGAAGCAAATGTTAAAACCTGCAGGGATAGAGCAAGTAAAATTAAAGCAGTGTAAGAATTCACAACAGTTATAGCCTTATTCAAAAATGGCTTGTGCTCCACATAAAGTTGACTTGTGTTGTAATTTATCTGACAGTGGTATCTTCATATTTAAAAAACATACTGTAAAACATACTGTAAAAAGAAGTATACAGTAAAAATATTGTAAAAACATTCTCTTAGGAAAGAAGAATTTAGAGTAAGTCCAGCAGCAACTTACCCCATCAATATTATGAGACGGCTATGCTGGAGTGTTCTTGCTAGTTATTTGGCTGCACTAGAACTGCATTCTGCTTTAGATGATTATAACTGAATAAAAGAGGAGTCCAGGAGAAATATTGATATTATACCTGGTTACTAGCTCAAATTTCTCATTCACCAGTCAAAACTTCTTTGTTTTCCAATAATTCCTTTATCACTTTTTTGTGGAGAGGTGTAAACCCACTGAAAATTGCATTAAAAAAAAAAATTCAGTTCTTCCCACCATTCTCCAACTACCAGGTAAGACACTTTAGACAAATCTATTTAAAACTTTGTTCTCCAGTTCTTTGAAGACCATTCTCTCCATTGTATGCTAAAAATCCTCCCAGACCTTGCCAGATCCTGTAATGAACCTATAAAATATTCTTACCATGTTCATATACTGCTGTCATAAACTGAACCCTTATGAGGGAGCCCTTTGAATTTCAACAAGTTCCCTTTTAAAAATACAAACTCTTGATTTCCTAGCTCTAAATCTCCATACTATTTATGAACATGACTGCAAGGAACTCTCTGTCCTGGAGTAGTGGGAAGCTCTTTCTGAAACTGCCAGTTACCAGACAGCAAGTACTTAGCATCCAAACTCTTTAAAGAGGTTTGTTGACTTCAGTTAGCATAGGTTTCCTATCCTTATTATCAGTATGCAAGCCCTGTAATAACACTTTCTTTTAAGATAAACATAGTAGTAAAACTTCAAATTGCAGTTAATCCCCATACTTGAACTGAACACAGTCAGGAAGAGCTGCTGTCCCAAAAGCTAGGCTGGTGCAACCTTGCACAATAAAGGTGAACATTCCTATTTAGAACACACTAACCTAGCATGTTCCCGGAGCAAAAATACAGGCTGTCCAAGATAAGATGAGTGAGCTCTTGTATGCTGTAAGATCCCTGTTCTGTTGCTGTCTAATAGCATGAAAAGTCACCCAGTGTGAAGAACCTCCTAGGAACATAACTCTGCAAATGTCAGTGAACTGCTCATCTTTTACTCACCTTATCACAACAGAAAGGCAGAGGACCACAACCAAAATGAGAGTGCTCATCTCTGAGCATTTCAAGGCCTTCTGATCAAGTGACTTACTGTAAGGTAAGGATCTGATTTCAAGTTCTGTATGAGTCTCCCAGTGTTGCCTTTCCCACAATCTGGGTGAATGTCTGACATGGTGGAGAAAGGAGGATGGTCACTTCCTCCATGCCTGAGCCTTAGGCTAGGCTAGACACAATCTGAGCATGTCAGCATATTAAACCGCAGAAGTGGGAATGGTTATGAATAGCTATCAAATCTTGACAGAGACTAATTGCAAAATGGGTGCTAAGCAGTTTGACTTTGTTAGGACTTTATTCTGTGTGTGTGTATAGTGTTGCAGAACATAGAATCATAGAATCATAGAATAGTTAGGGTTGGAAAGGACCTTAAGATCATCTAGTTCCAACCCCCCTGCCATGGGCAGGGACACCACACACTAAACTAAGTCGGCCAAGGCTCTGTCCAGTCTGGCCTTGAACACCTCCAGGGTTGGAGCATTCACAACTTCCTTGGGCAACCCATTCCAGTGCCTCACCACCCTCACTGTGAAGAACATACAGGTCAAAGGAGTTTAAAAGCCTACCTGATTAGGTGTCATTTTGTGAACATTTTATGGCATTGTTTAAGCACCCCTCAGTGTGCTTAAGTACCCCTTAGCCTCACAATGAAGCTAATCTACAATGAATTTAGAACAATCAAAATAAGAGTTAGATTTGAATCTTTTTTGATTTCTGTTTGTACTCTTTGCATAATCTTCTAAAGAAAACTCCTTTAAATACCAGTTTCTCAAATGGCATAAAGTATCTTTAATAAACGAAATATCTTTATCAGGTATCAGAAGAGTCAATTTTGGGATATCTTTGTGGTAGATCACACTTGCCTGGATTCAGTCTTAACACCTCACATAAACACATATGGAAAGCAAAAATGGAACATTTCTACAGCTGAAAACTGCTGTAGCTTAGCTTGGTTGTCAAATTAATTGCAAGGTTACAGATGTCCAGATTGCCCACCCTGGTCTTTAAATAGAAATAAAAATAAAAATTAAATAGGAGCAATTAAATGAAGATCAATATTAATCAGTCACATGATTGACGCGCAATGTAAGGAAGTCAAAGGAACTCTAGATGAGTACTTGAGATGTTTCTCAGGAGCTATCCATGACAGACCAATGATAATTTGTTCTCTCTCTTGTCATTTTCAGTGAAAAATTTCTGTACAAGACTGAATAAAGCTCAACAATATTTCAGTAGATGCATATTTCTATATGTAAGGGTGTGAGAGTTATCACCAAAAAGCTGTGAGATGCACGCAAAAGGGATGGCAAGCACACTAACACTGACTCATCAGCTGTCATCAGTTGCCTATGCACGTATTCTTGATATAATTAAGTTTTGTGCCACTATTACGATTTTAGTCTCTAGTAAATCCTGTATTGTTGGACTTATATTTAGACAAGTTTTCTTCAAGTTTGCATGAACTCACACATTGAAGACTGTGACTTTGTTTTGCATTTTCACTTGGCAATAGCCTACAAGACAGTAAGTTACAATGTCACTGATACCTGGATGTTGTGGTTTAACCCCAGCTGGCAGCCCTCTCCCCTTACTTCACCCCCAGTTCAATGGGGGAGAGAATTGGAAGGGTAAAAGTGAGAAGACTCATGGGTTGAGATAACGTCAGCTTAAAAGATAAAGCAAAAGCTGTGTGTGCAAGCAAAGCAAACCAATGAATTAATTCACTACAGGCAGGTGTTCAGCCACCTTCAGGAGAGCAGGGCTCCATCATTTGTAATGGTTACTTGGGAAGACAAATGCCATCACCCCAAACATCTCCCCTTTCCTTCTTCCTACAGCTTTATATGCTAAGCACGGCACCATATGGTACAGAATATCCCTCTGATCAACTGGGATCAGCTGTCCCAGCTGTGTCCCCTCCCAGCTTCTTGTGCACCTGCAGCCTCCTCACTGGTGGGGTAAAAAGCAGAAAAGGCCTTGACTCTGTGTAAGCACTGCTTAGCAATAATAAGAACATTTGCTTTTCAAGAAAGTACCAGTATTATCAACACTGTTTTCAGCACAAATCCAAAACATAGCCTCACATGAACGACTATGAAGAAAATTAACTCTACCCCAGCTAAAACCAGCACACTGGACCTCAATAAAAGACTTTAAATCAAATTGACTGGAGAGAGAGAGAGATAAATGAGG